GGATGGTGAAGGAAGCTGGCTCCTTAAATACTTATCATCCACCTACCTTCCTGAGTCTCCTCTGACTTCAGAGCCCCCCCATCTTCCCCCACTCCATCTATATTTTATGCTTTCCACCTAATAGACTTTCTGCCATGCACTCCCTCTTTATTGACTGTTTGATGTCATGTTTGCAGAAGACCCCAGAAGAGTGAATCATTTGATATTGAAACAAGGTTCCATGATTCCCGCTGTTGAGACCCCTGATCAAGCACACCTGCCCCTTTGTCTAATTCTTTTAACAGTGCCATTGCCTTCCTGCTAACCTTGAAATCCTGAAACCTCAGACTGGTGTTTATTTCCTCCTGTTTCCTTTCTCTCAGGTCTAATGGGGTGCCAACCCTTGCAAATTTTTACTTTTGTTTCCTCCTGTGACTTCAACCCTCATTTTAGCTCTGATACCTCAGAGGCTGGTGTTACTGTAAACAAGGTAGTGTTTCGTTTCTTCCTTTCATTTTTTACTTAACTACCTCTGTGATTGGGTAAGTGCCTCATTCCCAGTAAAATGCTCTAGTAAGAGTATCTGTCTTCCAGGGTTGTTTGGAGGGGTAGTCAGGGTACTATGATATAGAGAACGTTTGAACAGTATGTAGAGAATTCTTAGAATAGAATGCTTAGGCACAGTAAATGCTGTGGAGGGACCTGTAACTTTTGAGTATTATTGTTCCTGATTCCCTTCAATCTTTGCCAGACATACTAGCCCCAAAGACCCCTTTCATCAGGACTCAACCTTGCCCAGCAGTCTGCACTCTCCCCTGCTCTGTCTAGCAGCAGTCCCTGAAGTGAGTGTGCAGTGCCAGGGTGTGGGAAGAGAGAATTAAGACTTTTTTGATGGTTCTCTCATTCTTTAGTTTTCTACTTTTTTTTTAAAGATTTATTTATTTATGCATACAGAGCTGGGGTTCAGGCCAGAGGTGCAGGGGAGGTGAGAGGCTTCACCAGAGACAGAATGGGGAGCAGAATAGGCAGATCAATGAAGTACACTGCTGAGGGGAGCAGCGGGCGGGTCAGGAGAGATCTGCATGCCATGTGGGTCACCTCCAGGGTGGGAATTGAACTCATGCTGAAGTGGCTTTTTGCTTCTTAGTGCTGTGCTTTAATTCGCTGTGCCACCAGGGAGGGCCAGTTTTCTACTTTTTAATGTATGATTTACACTGCATATATTTAAGTAAAGGCATGTATAGTTTGCAGATGTGTATAATACAGGTGCAGATGTGTATAATACAGGTGCATGCCTATATCAGTAACATGTCAAAAAATATTTTACTGATAGGAGAATGCAAGCAAATGGATTTAGGGACTCCAGACATGGAAGTGCAATCTGGACCCCCAACTTAGCAGCTCTGTCTCCCACTCCTGCATGATCCCTGCTCAGTCTCCACCTGCCCACCTTCTGCCTTTGGATTTGTCATTTTCATCCATCTCCCCACTCCTCGAATAGTCTCCCATTTTCTTTTACTCTCCAGGAATTCATCTTAAATGCCCCTTGTCCCATCCAGCCTTCCAGGGCCATCTAGCCTGAATCCTTGGGTAGCTTCTCCAAGCTCCTCAGGTGTTCTTTGTCATTACACTCATTTGGCCCCTGCTGTTTTCTACATTACTTGGACCTTTTGCCATGTATATTTTTTGGCTCTGTATTTATTCTATGTGTTAGTTCTTACATGAACGTTTTCCTTTAAATGATCGTTTACTTTCAGACTTTATTTTATGCTTTTTATCATTTCTCCCATTTATCTGGAGATGCATACCTATGTTTTTTGAATGATATTAGTATATCTATTTTTTTTAAATTAACGTCATATAATTCTTTAAGGAAAAGATTCTTTCGTTACATTTGTGATCTGCACTTGCTTGGATTTGACAGCATGCTTCAGCTTGAGAAACACATTATCTACAGTATATGCATGAACATTTTCTATATTTGAATTCATTGTTTTCTTTGACTCTGAGTGGCCTAAAATCATAATACTTGTGCTTAAAGCTTTTATTTCAGTGCTTATAGTCCTGAGCTCTTCATGGACTCTTGGGACGCAGGCCATTTTTGTGAGGAAAGCTGGAGGGTACACAGAACATAGCCACTTAGCCTGGGTTTTCCTACTTCTCAAACACTGTGAGAAGGGCTGTTGTGTCAGCTTGTCTCGTCAGTCCACGACAGCAACCATGCAGTCTCCGCAGCTTCCACTGGCCTTGGAGTTAGGAGATGTTGGTCTAAATTTTGATTCCATCACTTGTTAGTTGTGTGGACTTCACCAAATCATTTAACTGCTCAAGTAATTTAGCATTGTCTGTAAAAGAACTTTATAACCTGTACGACTTAGAATTGTTACAAGGCTTCATGGAAATAGCATCTGTGAATGTACCCGACACTTGGGGGTGGCCGGAACTATCTGTTTAAGAGACAATGGAAAATGAAAGAGTCCTGCCATCTTCTGCAAGCATTCTGATGCAGAGTATATTTTGGGGGAGAAACAGGCATATTCAGAGAGCACACACCTGACTGAACAGCAGCTTTGGGCTGGAGACCAAAGCCTGGACATCCATTCGTCCTGGTTTCTGGGCTTGTCTCTAATAGAATGTCTATGGCCTCCCCAGGGAGGATGAAGATTAATTAGTTAATCTTGGTAAAGTGCTTTGAAGGTGAAAAGTGCTATGTAAGGAGAATGGTTGAATTGCTATTGGAGATATAATAATGGCAGTGCCATATTCTGGCAGTCCTGCCTGTCTCGGACATCAATAATCAATAGCAGAGAAGATTCTGAGATGTTTTATCTGATAAGAAAGAGGCCATTGTTGGATTTGTGATAACAGTTCTTTCTGTAGTCTTACAGATAGCAACTTGCCATCAGAAGAATGCTTGGAGTCCCTTGAAAAGTTTGAGTCTCATGCTCTGGCTTCTTGGGGCTCTCCCTGCTAAGGCAGCCTAGTTGTCAATCCTACTTAGCTGAGGTGCATGGACAGTTTTCCAAGTTTGGATACTTTGTGGGTCTTGGGAATGTGGGCTTTTTATTTTTTTTTTGGTCTACTCCTGCACAAGCTAAGGGAGAGTGCTGAGTGGCTGTCCCAGGACATGGAGCCAGTGTGGGTGACCAGTGCACAGGGGAGCCTTAAGCTGGTAGAAAGAGAGGTGGCTTAGCTGTGTGATCCTGGGCTGGTCAAGTGAAGAAATCTGAGTCTAATTTCCTCTCTGTTAAGTGGGAATTGAGTAGTTGGTGAGAACAGTAGTAATGGTGGCCCTCAGCAGGGTGGGTTTTCTCCTTCTCTCTGGAGAATTGGGGAGTTGAGAAAGGAGTCACAACTGGCATACATGAACTGGACTCTACCTTGAGTCACAACTTAGCAGGCCAGTAATGTAAGGAACAGGGCATCCATGACAAAGGAACTGCAGCCATGAAGCCAGGAAACGGTGCATCTGAATGGGGCCACTCCTCGTTCTGGTAGTACAACTTGTTCCTCGTGGAACAAGTTCCCTCTTTGAGGAAACCCAGAAGTCAGATTCCTGGGAGCTCATGGTATCTGTGTTGGTGTCCGTGAGCAGATTGATCTTGAGAACTGTATCCCTGCAGTCATCTGACATTTCCCCTGTGAGTCTGTGGTTGTTTTTGCTGACACCATAAACCATATGTTGAATGTAGGGCCAGATGAAGCTTTGGTACTAAACACAGAGTATGTAGTGGATTTGTCTAGAATTTAATATGCATTACTTGGTGTTTTGTCTCTTAAGCAAAGTTTTTCTTTGTTAAAATAAACATGTATAAAGAATTTATACAGCGCACATGGTTATGCATATTTATTGCAGAGAATCTGTTAATAATCTATGCCTCATCGGATTTTGCATTTCTGTTGAAATAACAAATGCGGCACTTGGTAAAACTGAATTAGTTTGGTGAATTTTCTCTTTCTGGGAGAAGAGAGGACATTTCATTTTTTCCAAACTTCATTTTCTTCTATTGTGTTTAGCTCTGACCAGCTTCTCAGGTAGTGCATTGGAGGGGGTGGGCGGATGAGTGCTTTTCTAGCTCCTTCAATGCTGTCCTTTTTTCTCCTTCCCTATTCCAATTTCATTAACGTGGACACTTACCTTGGGGTTGTTAGAATTGCTCCTTTGGGGAAGAGCATAGAAAGGCCACTTGAGGCCCTCCCTAGTGGAGCAATGGGTTAGGATGCAGCATTGCAAGCGAACTGCAGCTGCTTCAGGTCCCGGAGGTGACCCACATGGCACCACAGAGCTCTCCTATCTCGCCCGCTGCTCCCCTAAGCAGTGTACTTCATCCAGCTGCCTGTTCTACTCCCCGCACTGTCTCTGGTGAATCCTCTCACTGCCCTGCACCTCTGGCCTGTACCCCAGTTCTGTATGGATCAATAAATAAATCTTTTTTAAATTTTTAAAATTTTTTATATCATTTTGTACATTTTTTTCCATCTTAATTGTAGTCTTTTAAGAAATAAAAAGGCCTCTTGAGTTACGTGGTGGGGAGAACACATAAAACTGGCTGTTAATTGAGCTTGGGGTAAGGCCCTAAGAGATTGGGAATGGGGTATGTCAAAGCCTGGGAAACTTGAAGGTATTGATAGGGCTCTGGACAGAGTGAGAGAAGAGAGGGAGAGAAGATAGCATGAAGAGGATGTGGGGAGTGGGGGGGTAGGGCAGGCCAGGAACTGAGGTTGGAGTAGTCTCTCTAGTCCTGTCTGTATCTCTTAAAATGCAGGAAAGCAGGCTTTGAACCAACCTCTGCTACTCATCACTTGTTTGATTTCGGGCAATCATTTCTCCCCTCCGAACCTCAGTTCCAAGAGCTGTAAAAACATGAATACTCTATGTGTTTACTTGATAGAAAGACAAGGTCTGCTACATAGTAGTTGGTATTAAAATAAAGGCTCACACTTTCTCTTGCAATTTATTGCCTACCTCTGATCGCTTAAGCGTGGAATATAGCCTTAATTTAGATAATGTTTATTTTTAGAAACTGGCAAGGTGTTTACCTGGGGCCGTGCAGACTACGGTCAACTAGGGAGGAAGCTGGAATCTCACGAAGGCCGGGAACTAGAAGAGCAGGAGCCACAGAAGAGCATCCCCTCATCTCTGCATTGCTTAACAGGAGCAACCGAGGTAGGAGCTGACTTTTCTTTTATGGGTGCATCTTTTTTCCTTATCATTCAGGGAAGCATTTTCTGAGGGCCTCCTTGGGCCTGTCATCTAGGCATGATAGTAGGTTCCATGAAGATATTTAAATTGCCTTCTCATTACGTGCTGCATGGCAGACTGTGTTGGAGAGAGTGTCAGAGTACTCTGGATCCATGTCCAAGAGTGGGAAATGAATCCAGGGTACAGGGATTGCATTAGACTTTGAGACGTACCTTGGAGGACAGGTCAGACCTGAACAAGAGACTGTAAAAGAGAAGAGAACTTTCATGACTCTTGAGCAGAGTCATGGGGGTCGAAAAGTGAAGAAAGTGTTTGAGGGGGACCGCTGGTGGTTCAGTTTAACTGGAGCATAGCATATCTGTGGGAGTGGGTATGAGGTGATATCAGAAAGATGGGTGGGAACTCACTCAGGGGGGCTCGGACACTGAGCTAGCAACTGCCTTGCTCGTCTATTTACATTTCCCAATGCAGAATATACTGTAGTTGAGTTGCTTTCTCGGGCCCCTTTAGTTCCCTGAAATGTCTTGAATTTCTACATTTAAAGCAGGATTCTTAATTTCTCCAGGGTATGTGTTTCTATTACTAAGCTTTCCTTTGCTGATGCCTTTTTTTTTTTTAAAAAAAAAAGAAAAGTCTGGGCTTTTAAGAAGAATGAGGATGGCCACATAGGAAATGTGTCTCTGAACCCAGGCTGACTTAATGAAGGAAGACAGTCTTCATTCAGAGTCTGTCAAAAAATTAATAAGCTAGTGAGACTTCTGTAATTAGCATCAGACTAATTACAACCCTCTCCATACCTGGAGAGCTTCCTTCCCCCCGGGGCCTGCCTGGCCTCCTCCTTCCGGGTATGTAGGACGGGTCTCAATTTCTACTTTTTATCCCAACCCTGGTCCTCCTGGGCCTTTCCTTCATGCTGGGGTGAATCTGTCTGTCTCTCACTGAAAAGGTACGAAAACAATATCACTCAGACAGACCTGGGAAATACAATCAGAATCATAAAACCATCCATCATCTGGCACATGGGTGACTCAGTGATGGGAAACCCACGGGGATTACAATTGAGATTAAAAAAATGTACAAAATGATGTAAAAATAAACTATTATATCGGGCCCTCCCTGGTGGCGCAGCGGGTTAAAGCACAGCACTAAGAAGCTAAGGCCACTTCCGCATGAGTTTGATCCCCGCCTGCCCCAGAGAGATCCACATGGCGTGGCAGACCTCTCCTGGCCTGCCCGCTGCTCCCCTCAGCAGTGTACTTCGTCAGTCTGCCTGTTCTGCTCCCTACTCTGTTCCTGGTGAATCCTCTCACCCTCCGCATCTCTGGCCTTTGCCCCAGTTCTGTATGAATAAATAAATAAATCTTAAAAAAAAACTATTATATCAATAATAAAATAAAACAAAACAAACAAACAAACAAAAAAACCCATCCATCATCTTTCCATTCTGCATTCCTTCTTGCATGTACACTTCACAGAGTGGTAATGACAGCATTCACGATGTCTTGTATTCAGTCATTCACCACTAATTCTTCATTGTGTTATTGTGTTTCCCCTCTTGGACTTTAAGATCATCTGGAATGACTGTGGATAACATATGATTTGAAGGTTCTGGGATTTTTCTGACTCATTCTTTGAATGTTGGATCTCATTCTCCCCTTCCCCTCACTGTTTTTGTCACTGTGGTGGGCCCTGCAGTGAATATTTGGTCAAACATTTCCTTAAGTTACCATCTTGGGGGGTGAAGTTGATGGCCGAAGGCCATGAGCATCCTCATGTCTTTCCCATGTTCCTCTAGATTTATCTGAAAGAAGTTGACAACGAGGCAGCAGTCCTTCTGCCCTCCTGTGCCTGTGCAGGTGCTTCTTTCCACCAGCTCTCTCCCCCTGCAGGGCAGCAGCCTCCTGCCTGCCCGTGACCTGCGCCATGCCAGGTTCCCTTTACTGACCTCCCTCAGCAGAGGTAACTGTCCACAAGGCTGTCGGCCTGCAAGCACGCAGGCCTCTCTCAGAGCAGCGCTTCCTGCCTGCTTGTGTCTAAACAAGTGTCTTTTACTCTTCTGTCCTTTCCCCCAATAAGCCTGTTTTTTTGCATATTTATTTAAAAAAAATAAGAAGGAGTTGACTCCACTGGCAGTGAATGACGGAATGTAGTATGCGCGCTAATTTTGCCTGCTGCTTGAGCTAAGGTGCTGAGAACTGGGCGCACATGGCTTTAGATTCTGTAGCTTGTCTTTGTCTTTCCCAGAACGTTTAAGACTTTGTGATCTGCTAGTATAGTGGAGTTACAGATGCTTCATGAATTTTTCAAGTCTCTGGTTTTATTGGGGAGATGAGGATGATAGTACCTACTGCAGAAGATTACTTCCCTTTTCTTTTCCTGTAAAGACTTTTTTTTTTTTTTTTTAAGATTTATTTATTTGTGCATACAGAACTGGGGTACAGGCCAGAGGCTCAGGGGTGGCGAGAGGATTCACCAGAGACAGAGTGGGGAGCAGAACAGGCAGATCGACGAAGTACACTGCTGAGGGGAGCAGCGGGCGGGTCAGGATAGGCGGGAATCAAGCTCATGCGGAAGTGGCTTTAGCTTCTCAGTGCTGTGCTTTAACCCGCTGTGCCACCAGGGAGGGCCATTTTCCTGTAAAGACTTTTAATGCCCTGATGGCCATGATATGCAGCATTGTAACAGACATGGTCAGTGCAGACATACAGTTAAAAACCTGACACTGATGTGACTTTAATGCAGCTTCTGAGGAATTGGCTTGGGCCCTGAGCCCCATGGCAACTTTATTTTCAGGATTCTTTACTCTCTGTTCCAGTCTCTGGAGTAGTGGTATGTCTGCTCACTGGTCTCACTGCAGATTCATACTCCTAGCTGTTTCCTACTGATAAACTGAGTCTAGGACTTATTTTCGGCTGTGGATGTCCAGGTCTGACCTGTCGGGCCTGGAGCCAGAGCAGGGGCCACAGTAAGCTGCCAGGAGTAGAATCACCCTGGAAAAGACAAGAGCCCTACTAAACTAGGGGCTGCTCTGGCCAGGCTTGGCCAGGGAGGTGCAGGTATGCCTGGGAGATGGGAACAGCTTTGAAGTAAGACAGTGTGTCCTGACCTTAAAGAACAAGAGTGTGGTCCTTCGCTGGCCACTTGCCTTGTCTCTATTAGGGGATAAGCAGAGGGAGGAGAGAGCTGTTGGGCTGGGGCTTCAGGTAGAATGTGTGCCCAGATGGGTCCAGAGGGACAGCCAAGTGTAGGGGAAAGCACGGGTGGACAGAAGTGGACAGTGGTATATCCATCATGTCCCATGAGTGAAGGAAAGCCAAGAGGGACACTGTTATTTAGTAGTTATTGTGGGCCAGACAGTGTGCTAATTGCTGGACATCTTATTCCATCTTCACTATAAAGCTGGCACAGGTAGTAGAATCATTGGTTCATGCATAAGGAGACAGGACCCAGAATGGGTCACTGACCCATGATAAGTAGTAGATCCACAATGGGGTTGGCACTTGGAATTGAAGTATTCGAGGCTCACATACTTTCCATGTAGCTGAAGTAAAGTTGCATGTTCCTTTTGCATATGTACCTTTTACCTGGAAGTCTGGGGCTTAGGGGCTCTGACTCCCTGAGAATCGAAGTGCTTTTCTTCTGAACCATATCTTATCTTTAACCTGAGAAAGACTTTGAGATTTTGGAACTGGAGAGTTTTCCTTTATTGGTCTCATAGTAGTGAAAACTGTGTGTTTACTCCACTCTGTGTATGAAGCTACTCTAAACTTTACTTTAGATTCTGCATCTCTGGCCTCTCCTGGGCCTGTAGCCACTTCCAGGGATAGCACAGGGATCAAGATTAATTTCATGCAGAAATTAATTCATGAAATTTCTTCATGAAATTAATCCTGAGGTAGGGTCTGTGTGAACAGTTTTTTGTTTTTTGTTTTTAGATTTATTTACTTATGCATACAGGAACTGTGCCCAGGTTTATTGTGTGGAGGTTGAGAGGATTCCCCAAAGTCAGAGCGGGGACCAGAACAGGTGGACTGAAATACACTGCTGAGGGGAGCAGCAGGTGAGACAGGAGAAGTCTGCCACACCATGTGGATCACCTCCCTGGCTGGGGGTCAAACTCGACCTGTAGTGGCTGCCAGTAGCTTCATAGCGTGGCACTGAACACCTTACAACATCAGGGAGGCCCTGTGTGGACAGTTTTGTTTGCTTATTGAAGGGAACTTTTTGTTTTTCAAACTCCTAGCAGGGCTGCTACCGGCATGTTTCCCTTGGAGCTTTGACTCTGAACTCTGCCCGAAGGTGTTTCACACTCGGTGATAGGTGCTGCTGTGTCCTTATTTAGTATATTGGGGCCTCCAAGATTCTGAAGTAGTGGTTGCCCTGTAAGCAAATGGCCTCTGAATGGAGCAGAACTAGATTGGGAGGAGGAGACCTGGCCTCTTGGTTCTGTCCTGCCTGAGTGAGTTTGGACAGATCCCTTTTTCATCTGGACCCTCAATTTCCACATGTAGAGATGGGAGTGTTAGACCAGAGGGTTCCTAATGTTTCCTGTAGATCTAAGTGTCCTTTTCATCTCTGAATCTTATTTAAGGAAATGACTTACATGTGCAATGACTCCTACCTTTGGAGTCATTTCCAAGATCAAGTCATAGCCAAGTTCACGTAACTCCTACCTACTGGCCCAACTTTGGCAGACCTGGGAATGTCAACTGATCCAGAAATTCCAGGCTTCAGTACCTTTTCAGTCCTGCTCTGTCCCTTTGCCTCGGCTCTGTTCTCTGCCCTCAATTTGTCCCCAGGCTCTCCTGCTGCCATTTGGCACACCACGACTCAGTATCAGGCTCCTGCTCCTTAGTCCCTTAGTCCCCTTGAGGATGGTGCCCCTGCTCCCTTTTTAATTCCTCATGTTTCTAGAACTCAGATCCTTCCTGGCACCCTCAGGACTTGCAGCTTGGCTTTGACTC